TGAATGTTATTAACCATCTGACAGATGCTCAGTGGCCTGAGTTAACTGAATCGATCTCGTTGCAGTTCTCCAAGAACAATTCTGCAAATCACCAAATGAGAGGGGGAAATCTATGGTTAGAGATGGCATTAATTGACATCTTTGATGACATCTCAGCAGAAAAGCAGGTTCAATAGCTGTGGAAGAGGCTGATTTGCTCTGGAACAGGCACTTGATGAACCTTGTGAACCCACAAATCTTTCAAGCGAACATCCACAGCCTTGAAACTGCTCACTCTGACACATGCCTGGGTGGATTTTGTTTATGGATGGACTATGTTGAAATCCTCAAACTCTTTGAAAACACAGTATACTAGTTAGCTTTTCATCACTGTGACAAAATACTTGATGGTAAACAACTTAAAAAAGAAAATTTTTACTTTGGCTTATGGTTTCAGAGACTCTAACCTGTGTTTGCTTGTCCTCGTTGCTTTGGGCCTGTGGTGGCATGGTACATCATGGTGGGAGCATGTGACAGAGGAGGCCTGCTCACCTCATGCTAGGTGGGATGCAAAGAGAGAAACGGGAAATGGCCAGGGTCCTAATATCCCCTTTAAGGCAGGCCCCCAATGACCTAACTTCCCTCTACTAGGCCCCACCTCCTAAAGATTCCAATCCCTCCCAAGAGTGCCACCGGTAGGGACAAGGTCTTCAACACATTTGCCTTTGGGGAACACCCAAGATCCGAACCATAACACCTAAAGACACATCAGCAACCTTCCCTCCAAATGAAAAAGTATATGTTGCTAATTGCATTTCCAGTTCAAGTCCTCCATCCTGCATAATATCGTGCTTATTTTTTTTGTCAGATCTCTTTTGTTACTCTATGTGTTTATTATCRACTGTGCATTCTGCCTAGTGATGTTATTTAAGGTATTTCATAGTTTGCACAACCAGACAAGTACCAAGATACTGGCCTGGAAGAACTGGTCTCCTTTTAAGTTGCAAGAGCATCAAAGACATTCCAGAACATCCATATTCCCACCTGTATCCCAATTAGCCTTGGAGTCTCTCTTTAGAGCCTGCTTATCAAACCTAGTTCCTCAGCCTAGGTAGCACTCAAGGACCTATCCAATCCTTTACCCACTATATTCCTTATTCTTCTCCAATTTAACTTTACCTTATCTGCCAATCCTGTCCTTTCTTCTCCAATCAACACATCTTCCTTGCTTTTATTATACACTCGGCAATTCTCTACTCTGTTCCCTTGAAAAAAATCATTGCCTCCACCAGGAAGATTCTCTTCCCCTTCTTTCAACCAGTCCACAGCTGTGACCCACTTCCTCCAAGACTTAGCTTGAAACTCTTTAACTACAGGAAGCCTTCTCAGACCATCCACATATGGCGCATGTTTTTTTTATGTAAATTTTTTAAAAATTTATATATGACAGTGGAATGCATTACAATTCCTATTACATATATAGAGCACGATTTTTTTTTTAAAGAGAGAGTGAGAGAGGAGAGAGAGAGAGAGAGAGAGAGAGAGAATTTTTAATATTTATTTTTTAGTTCTCGGCGGACACAACATCTTTGTTGGTATGTGGTGCTGAGGATCGAACCCGGGTCGCACGCATACAAGGCGAGCGCGCTACCGCTTGAGCCACATCCCCAGCCCTAGAGCACGATTTTTTATATCTCTGGTTGTATACATAGTATATTCACACCAAGTCGTGTCTTCATACATGTACTTTGGATGGTAATGATCATCACATTCCACCATCATTAATTACCCCATGCCCCCTCCCTTCCCTCCCAACCCCTCTGCCCTATCTAGAGTTTGTCTATTCCTCCCATGCTCCTGCTCTCTATCCCATGTGATTTGAATGAATGTGATTCTTAGGATGTTTAACAAGCACATATTAAGATAGAGTGATTTTTTCTTAACATAGAGCTTAGGTTGTGGGTATATTTTTCAAATCCAATAAATTGATGATGGAGATAAGTACAAGACTCGTAAGTAAAAAGACTGGTCGGCTACCACATCATTTGGCCTCTGCCACTGTTATGCCTGCCATTTCAGCCCCAACCATAACAGGACTTACTATCTGATGAATGTGAACTCTTTGCTAAGCATCAAACATACCTTACATTATTTGAACTTTAGGGACACAGCTGCTATTTTATTATTACTATTTACACAGGGAGAAACTGAGTCCAAGGGAAGTTCAGCAAGTTGCTCAGAATCACATTTACAGTGGACGATCTACTTCTAAAATCAAGTCTCTGGTGTACACATTAGAGAAGACTGAGTTATGAGAAATGAATGGAAGAAGTATGAGAAGGAAAATGCATGAGAAAGAAAAATCCTTGGGTCACCTTTTTTAGAGCTCTATTCAGTCAACTCTCCCTCCATAACTGTGGTGGCTGCGTGTTGGTCTCCCCTCTCTATCATCCCTGCCCAGTGCTCCCTTGGGTTCCAGGGAGGCTCTTCTTTTCCAGAAGACAGGGTTGGCAGCTGAGCCCAATCTAGAAACTATCCTTGGTAGAAGGAACCCACCTCACCCAAGTTATAGTCCCACTCTAGGACTGGTCAGGCACAGGGGTGCAAAGAGCCACACATCCTGCCTAACTTTGGGATAGCTTAGAAAACGCATCCCAGCTTCAGTGTTTCCTGGGATGCTGGCTGAGGCCTCAGAGACAATATCCCAGCTCCATCTCTCTGCCTGCCAAGTTCTGCTGTCCTCCTGACTTTCTTACTTTTGTTGTTTCTGAGAAGTCTCCCTAAAAATATCCTGCTGTTAAGACTCTCCATCTGAGCCTATTTATTGGGGACCTACTCGAAAGCATGAACCAACAGTGAGAAAGTGGGGATCAGAGTCCACAATTGTGTTCTCACCAACACTAGGAGAGAGAGGATGGGCAGGCACACCCCAACCATTGCTGCGACCAGCACGGCCAAACTAGCAGGTTTTGACAAGGGGYAATGGGAGATTAGAAAAAATAGTCAACACACGCAGATCTTGAAGATAAAACAGCTGGGGTCAGGTGGAGCACTGCTCTCTGATGGAGAAGCAGGTCTAAAAAATTACACCAGCAATCTTTATTATATATGTCTCTAAATCAGATTAAAGACTGTGCAAGCATTATTCTTTGTATTCATGAAATTTACAGAGTTAACAACAGTATGCAGCTATTTCCTCAGTTACATTCTACAGCTGCAATGTGCAGTGTTAGGAGCATTGTGCAGCAATGTTAGGAGCATTGTGCAGCTCTCAAGAAAGTCTATTGTTTAAAGTTAATAATTCCAGGGCAGATTCAGGAGTAGCAGTATTGGTATTGGTAAATATTGTGGCTATCTTAACAAGGAAGTTCCCTCATTCCCAGGAGCTGCCCTGCCTGAGAATAAGGTTGAAGCTGATAAGACTCTAGCATGGAGGACATCTCCATAGCAACGGGGCATCCTATGCCATTGCACAGAAACTTTCCCAGTCACCAAGTATGCCACAGCCATGAAGTCATCAGGGACCCCAATCTCAGACACTGGTTTCCCAATCACTGTCACCGCTCTCCCCAAACCACCTCACCCTGTGACAGGCACTGGGAAGTAGGCAGAGTCTGCATCTGCTTCCCTCCCACACTGAGGCCACTTTGCTCCAGCATGTGGCTCTGCTGGTCCCTCTCTCTCCCACCAAGATCCAGAACTTCAATGTCCTCTCCTTCCTCACCTCTATCTCCTGCTAACTCTTGCTTCAGGAAAGGATTTGATGAACTTAGTCACACCAAGGAAATTTAATAAAATCAATGTATTACCATGTGGGATTTTAAAATAAACTAATGCTTACTTTAAGTTAAACTAATGAAAGAGTATATAGAGCAAAATTCCAGAAACTTATTCATTCAGTAAAACATATACTTGAGCACCTACTATACCAGTGTTGGTTGCAATCCATAGACGGGGGATAATTTTAGGTTGGGGATGACCACATCAACCCACTGGAACCAATGCCAATGGGTGACTCCATCAACCCCTGAGACTTGCACTGGCCCTCCATGTCTAGGTTCTGCAAGGGTGCATCAACATTATGCTGACACTAGGGAGCCACCAGCAGCTGATGAATTTCCACACTACAACAGGAACAGACATCTGTGGGTAGTTCCCACTTCTCCCTTAGGACTAAGTAAAAATCTAAAGTCTTTTCATGTGGAGTTCATTTCCATAAAAACAAATAAGCAATCAGCTCTTCTTCTGTTCAAGTCAAAAGTATACTAACAGCTCTTTTTTTTCCCAAAAAAAATAGTAGAAAATGGTCCAAAAGAGGCAGCACCCTTCTCAATTCAGTCTCCCCTAATATTTAGCAAAGGGACTGATCATGGACTTTTCTATAGGTTCAAGATGAAGGGCACACAGGAAAAATTCACCAGGGGGATTTTCCTATAGGGTATATATGTTATCTAAATGAGGCACTATGTCCGCTGATAAAGAAAGAAAGGAGACTGCTTCTGACTTTCTCATGTTAGAAGTGAACACTAGGACTGCTACTTGTCCTGTCACCTATTTATATATGAAGTTATGAGACAGCAGGCTCAGTGGGATAAGCAAGACATCAGATTAAAGGACCAAGAATTTTAATTGCTGTTTTCTACTGTAATCTTAGAAATCCCTTACTTTTTCCTTAAACCTCATTTTAAAAGAGGGAGGAGATTAGTCCAAGTTCATGTCACATCCTGCTATCAGGTATAATTAATAAAGTACACAGAATTGTTCATTAGGAATTCCCAAAGATAACATAACCTCTCTCTTTGTCAATATAAATGCAGCTTTTTTAAAACTCAGACACATTTTCATTTATACAAATGTTTGATTTTTCATACTTAGATGAGAATTCTTCATATACACATAGGTATATGAAGAATACCCATACATACCAGGAAAACTATAGTCAGAAAATAGTGTGAAGGATGACTCACCTGTGATGATGAAAGGGACTAGGAGGTGTGATTTAAAGCTCTGGGGTCAATTACCTTGATATATTGCCACAGATGACTGAGCACGGCTGGGTGTTGTGCAAGTACCCAACTGCTTTGGACACTCCTATTAATATACTGATTCGAATTTGCCAAGAGAGTGCAGCCGTGTTACCCTAAAAGACAACAAACATCATTGGTTTCATTGCATTTTCTGAGTACAAGCTATCTATGTATTCATGACGTGGAAGCATGCTACAATACAAGCAGGGGTGAAGCGGGGTGAGGGGTGAATTAACATTTTGGCTTATTACAACCTATTTTTAATTCCAGATGTGTTTCCTGTATTACCAATAATTGTTACAGGTCTGTTTATAGATGATGGAAATACCACAAAATTTTTATTATTAACTTAATCAAAATATAGTTAGTGGATGGGGCTGGGGGTGTAGCTCAAGGGTAGAGCCCCTGCTTAGCATGCACAAGGCCCTGGGTTGATCCCCAGCAGCACAAAACAATGACATCAAAATGTGGCTAGTAAGATGATGCTGTTTAAAAGTTCATTAAGTAAGATTTTATTTGTAGCACAATAGTGTGAGTAATTGAGAATAATCTGCTTTTGTTCTCATCTTAACTAAAACTTAACCTATTTGGGATCAATTTTTAGATTTACCCTTTCAAAATATGAGAAATTACAGCATATTTAACTTCTTTCCCTTTAAGTAGTTCATATCACTTTTATGTCTATCCTTGGTATTGAAAGATACTTCATATAAAGTTATGCACATTAAAATTATCTGAGAAGGATACAATATCTTTATTTTTATGTGGTGCTGAAGATCGAACTCAGTTCCTCCTGTGTGCAAGGCAAGCACTCTACCACTGAGCTATAGCCACAAGGGAGAGAAATGAATTACAGAAGATGGGGTAGAGAGAGAAGATGGGAGGGGAGGGAAGGGGAGGGGGGATAGTAGAGGACAAGAAAGGCAGCAGAATATAACAGACACTAGTATGGCACTATGTAAAAACGTGGATGTGTAACCAATGTGATTCTGCAATCTGTATTCGGGGTAAAAATGGGAGTTCATAACCCACTTGAATCAAATGTATGAAATATGATATGTCAAGAGTTTCGTAATGTTTTGAACAACCAATAATAAAAAAAATTATCTGAGAAATAAGGGAATGTAAACTCACTCAGGGTATAGAATCAAGGAAGGCTGCAACAAATCTTTTGGCTACCACACTGCACAAACCCCAGTAAGTTGGCTGTTTATGCAACCTTTCAGGAGTAAGAAATCAACTGGGGGAGTAGCCTTCTCATTCCTTGGGAAGCCCATTGGTGGTGATTCTTTCAGATACCCTCATCTGGCCTCCCAGCTTCCCCAGAAGGCTGTGGCAGCTAATCCCCAGGCCTTAGAGGGTCAGAGGACAATGGCAGATGTGACTTACTACACACTGTAATCTGTCAAAAAGTGTTCCATTCCTCATATATGGATAAACCAGGCAAAACTTCTCAGTCTCTGTAAAATACGCAGTCAGCTCCAGTATGTTTGGATGACGAAACCTTGAAACACAAGATTATTAGAGCCATCAAACTGTTTATTCAAATAAGTCATGAGTAATACTTTGGAGTGGTAAGAAGGGTGGGGAATAAGACAAAAACACATAAATTCAGCCAACAGAAAAGTAATTTCAATGGACACAGACTTGCTTTCTAAATTGGTCTATGGAGTTCAACAAATACTACATAACTCTGTTATCATGCAAATAAAAATAAAATTTCCAAATACAAGGCAGAAATTTTTAAAAGTAAAATTTTCTTAAGATCTGAGGTTTTAGAAATTTTACAAAAAATAGACAACACTGATATTAATTTGTTTTTATTTACATGAAACAAAAAGTGGCTATTATGTAAATAGATAAAGGTAACCCAACTGGAATTGCTCATTTGACTAATTTAAGTACACAAGTGTAGGTCAAGCCACCCAAATATAGGAGTACAGAAGACCATTCAAGTGTCTATTGAGCTTGCTAGGTCAGATGCTGGGTTACACAGACCAAAAGAGACAACACCTGCTATTCACAAAGCTTGCACTGTTATCAAAAATCCACACAAAGAGTAAAGTTCGATGTTGAAAAATATATCACTCAATTTAAATAACAGACTTTATATCCCCATAGTATATATTTCTCCGGCTCCTTTCCTAATTGATTAGGCTACTAATAAAATTTCTACTCCCTGAGTGTATGTATCATTGCTACAAAGAACAGTGGAACCCAGGTAACCACTATCAACATAAAACATGTGAAGCTCACACACATTGCAAACTCAGTTTAATCCAATCATTATCTATTGAATACTTGCTATGTCCTGGGCATTGTTGGGGATATTAAGATAAATTAAGCTGCAAAAAAATGGTTCTATTTATAAAGGCGTATTATTTGTTTCTTTAGTAACAGAAGTCCTATAAACACACACACAGACACACACACACACAGACACACACACACACACACACCACCACCACTACCACCACCACCACCAATGGGCTTCCCCAGGAATGAGAAGGCTATTTCCCCAGTTGATTTCTTACTCCTGGAAGGTTGCATAAACAGCTAACTTACTGGGTTTTGTGCAGTGTGGTAGCCAAAAGATTTGTTGCATCCTTCCTTGATTCTATACCCTGAGTGAGTTTACATTCCCTTATTTCTCATATAATTTGTACAGATATATCTTGTGTGTTTTTTATCCCTGTTACTTCAACAAAGGAACCATGCCTGTGTACCTGTGTACACATACACATACAAAAACACACAGACTTTTATTTTTAACTATGTCAAAAACTTCTATGATACGAGGTCCTTATACCTATTATGATTCAGACCAAATCTATAAAATGAAAAGAAATTGATGAGGTATATTTAGCTGCTTAAACAGTTGATCTATACCRCTGGTTGGCTGATTCTCCTGCAACTTAAAATTCAAAGAGAAAAACTTTTTGAAAGGCAGCAGACGGCAGACATCATACAGACCCAGTCATGGCCTGGTGTTCTGCTTTTTTGCCCACAGAATAGAAACAACCATTTTCTTATTTTCAAATAGTACTGATCAAGCAGAAATACAGATACTGCAGAAGTCAGCAAGAATGGGACCTGGAGACATCATGGAGTCTAAGGGCTCAGGCCACCCATGCTTTCTCTACAAGTTTTTCAGTCCGTAAGTTATATAGATCTGAAGGTCCGTAGTTTTGAAATCGACTCAGCAAGCATCCCTGAATGCCTACTGTAGACAAAATGCTGAAAGTGGCTCCTAGTGTGGTAGAGCAGACAGACTTGAGTGGCAGATTTGATCCGCACTTGAATCTCTCTGGTCTTTTTCCAGCTGTGTAGACTTGGGCAAGTTATTTTGTCTCCCTGTGGACTGTAAGATAAATTATTCTCTTCTTTCCCTTCCCTTAAGGAAGGAAGAGGAGGAGAAAGAGCAGCRGTAAAAGCAGCAGAAGTCATATTCTAAGGAGTTTGTAAATCTATATAAGTAGTTTCCTCAATACTAAACCTTAAAAACTCCTTTAGGACTTGGCTTAGATGTGCATCTTCCTAGAAACCCATTCTGCTGCTCACCTCCAGGCTCTCATCCTTTCCCCCTCTATATTTTCTCACATTATCACTTACTTTAGTGAAACTACCCATCTACTTATGAACTTCTCTCCCAATCCCACTTCAGACTGTATAGTATAAGAGAAGGCTTCCCTTAGTAACATCTCAGTGTCTGAGAAGAGGAAGACTAAAGATGATTTAGGAAATAAATTGTACCTCGTAGAAAATCTAGGATTTTCCTGAGTTTCCTCTTCTTCAAAATGGGGATCTATAATAGAATTTATCTCATAGGACTGTTGTGAGAATTAATGCATTAATACACATACAGCACTTGGAATAGTTCCTAACACTAAATAAATATTAATAAAATGAATAATAATAACAGTACCTCATGAATATTCAACAACATAAATTTAATCCTCCCAAGATTATTTTGGGAACCCAGTAAACACTTCAGGATTGTTTCAAAAGAAACAGACAAGCTGTAGTTCATTTGTAAAATACCTCATCAGATAACCAAATGGATTAGATATATGAGTGTGAGAAATCAAACTATAAAAGTATTAGGAAAAAATGGGAGGATTATTTTATAACCGTTTAGTAAAGACAGATTACCAAAAAAAAAAAAAAAAACAACTTAGAATCCACTAAAAAGGATAAACTCAACTACTATAAAAATCATTTCTACTTGGCAAAAGTAGAATAAGCAAAGACAAAATGATAGTATGGTAAAAATAATTTATATTTAATATCGTAAAAATAGTCTAATTTTTTCATATATATGAGTTATATATATATAGTATTTTATATATATATATATATATATATATATATATATATATATACACACACACACACACACACACACATATACAAAATCTTCCTTCAACCCATTAAGAGAAAAACTAATAACCTAATTTTTTAAATGGGCAAAGGATGTTATCAGATATTTTGTAAAAAAAAAAGGAGGTATATATTTTTTAAGGATTGTGATTCTCAGAAAAAGGAATTTGAAACTACACTGAGATCTCTCTCTCTAGAGAAGGCTCAAATAAGTTTATAAACAAAAGAGAAGACATTGCAATTGATACCACAGAAACAAAAGTATCATAAAAAACTATTATGAACAGCATGTGCCAACAAACTATAACTTAGAAGAAATGGATCAAATCCTAAAAACCTACAGTGTACTAAGACAGAATCATGAAGAAACAGAAAATCTGAACAGACTAGTAATGATGGAGACTGATGCAGTCATCAAAAGCCTTCCAAAAAAGAGAAAAAGAAAAGGAACAGGAGGGATTCAGAGGTGAATTCTATCAAGCATTTAAGGTGAATTTTATCAAAATCTTCCCAAAAATTGAAGAGGAGGAAACATTTACCAATTCGCCTTACTAGGACCAGCATTAATTACCCTAATAACAAAGGACCCTACAAGAAAAGGAAATTACAGGGTCAACATCACTGGTGACCATACATGCAAAACTTCTAGCAACCCAAATGCAATAGAACATTAAAAGGATCATATACCATGACCAAGTGCAGTTTAACCTTGGGATTCAAGAATGATTCAACATGTGCAAATCAACACATCATCCATCACCTTAGCAAAAAGAAGGAGGAAATTCATAYGATCGTTTCAATAGATATAGAAAAGCATTTAACAAAATTCAATATCCCTTCACAATAAAACTCTCCACAAATGAGGTACCAAAGGAATGTGCTTCAATATAATAAAGGCCATATAGGATAAGCCCACAGCTAACATCATACTCAGTGGTAAAAATATGAAAGCTTTTTCTCTAAGATCAGGAACAAGCCAAGGATGTCCACTCTTGTCATTTCTATTCAACATGGTCCTGGATATCCTATCTAGAGCAATAAAGCAAGAAAAAGAAATTAGAAATATACAAATTGGAGAAGAGGACATTACATTAGCTGTTCGCAGATGACATGATCTYATACATAGAAAACCCTAAAGAGTCCACTAAAAAAACTGTTAGAATTAATGAACAAATTCACCAGATTTTCCTGATATAAAAAATCAATATACAAAAGGCAGTTACGCKTCTATACAATAGTAATAAACTATCTGAAGCAGAAATTAATAAAATCTCCCATTTATAATAGTATCAAAAAAGAATAATACACTGAGGAATCAATTGAACCAAGGAAGTGATAAATCTGTAAAACAGTGATTAAAGAAATCAGACACAGTAAATGGAAAGATATCAAATACACAAGAATTGGAAAAAATTGTGAAAATACATATACCACCCAAAGTGATCTACAGATTCAATGTAATTCCTATCAAAATTCCAATGGCTTTTTTACAGAAATAAAAAAAAAACAATTCTAAAATTCATATGAAACCATGAAAGAACCCAGTCAAAGTCAATTTTGAGAAAGAACAAACAAAGCCAAAGACATCCGCTCTCCAACTTTAAACTGCATTACTAAGCTGTAGCAATCAAAATAGTATGTACTGTTTTGGAATACAACAGAGTCCCCAAATGAACCTATATACATATATGGTCAAACAGTCTTTGACGAGGGTGCTATTATGGTCTAGACATGGTGTCCTTCAAAAGCTCATATGTRAGATAATGCAAGAAAGTTCAGAGATGAAATGATTGGATTTTAAAAGCCTTTACCTAATCATTGTGTTAATCCACCTGAATGGATTGACTGGGCAGTGACTGAAGGCAAGTAGGGTGTGGCTGAAGGTAGTGTGGTCATTGGGGGTGTCCCTTTGGGGTATATGTTTGGCTGAGCTTAGTCTCTGTCTCTCTGCTTCCTGGTGCCATGTTCTGAGCTGCTTTCCTCTGTCACTTTCTTCTACCATGATGTACTCCGCCTCACCTTGAGCCCTGAGGAATGGAGCTGGCTACCTAGGGATTGAGACCTCTGAAACCATGAGCCGCCAAATAAACTTTTCCTCCTCTAGTTTGTTCTCATTATGTCTTTTGGTCATGGCTGACTAAAACAGATGCCAAAAATACACAAGGGGAAAAGAAAGGTCTTTTTAATGAATGGCATTAGGAAAATTGGATACCACTTATAAAATAATGAAGTTGGACTTGTCAGACATCATACACAAAAAATCAACTAAAAATGCACCGAAGACTGAAACCATAAAGCTCCCAGAAACAAGTACAGGGAAAAAATCTCTCTGACACAGTTTTACAAATTTTTTTATTTTTGATATGACACAAAGAGAACAGGCTTTCCTGTTGCAACTTTATTTTTAAACAAAGGATTAGGAAAAAAAAATCTCTCAACAGGAGAGAGGAACAGTAAAGCACAGAACATGAAAATGAACCATGTACTAATGCTACCTTTTGTGTAAAAGAAGGGAAATAAAACACAATGTGTGTTTGCCTGTGCATAAAATATCTCTCATACACAAGAAACTAATAACACTGTTACCTTGGAAAAAAAAATCAGTCCGGTAGTGGTGGAAAAGCTTATCTTCAATTGYTCTTTTGTATTTTTTGGAATTTTGAAATGTCTGAATATCATTGTCATAAGCAAATAAATAAAACTTCAATGTAAAAACCTACTATTGCAATTTTGAATTCAGTTCTTTATTGACTAAATGATATCAAGTTTTAATGACTAGCCTCTAATATTTTGATTTCTGGTCTTGGGTATAAAAGGGAGAGAATTCAGCACAATATCTTAGTCCCCACCTGCCTTTCYACCCCTCACTTTACATATCTATGCAGAAAACATCTGAAAAGGGCCTTTTCTGTTTATAAAGGGTGATGAGTGAGCTCTCCAGGGGTAGGGGCCTCCACTGAGGATGCACAGCTGCAGATATGAATATAGAGGACAATGAAGTCATTTAAATTTGTCTCTGAGGATTCTTGATTCACGAATGAATTCCCAGAAAATAATATGCACATCAAAAGCCCTTGATTTCTTTGTCTAAAACTCTCTTTCTGAAGACAGTTATACTGAGCAAACAGCTTCTAGACTACAATGTCTCTGAGGAAGGGGAACAGAGTGCCATATATATAGTTCTAATGTTTGAAGAATTACTATTCAGGCATGTTAGTCACACACGATTTAACCCACTTTCTTGTGACAGTTTCTTGTTCAAATATGTTCAAGTGAATTATGTAAATGGTCTATTTTTAAATGTACTTTCAGGAATATACTGAAGCAGATGTCGAAAACCTACAGACTGTTGGAATATCCAACCCCCGTTAATTAAATGCCAACGACGCTATGCGCTGTGCTGTAGAATCAAAGATGAAACATAGATGAACCCCAGACAAGAGGGGGGATTCCAGACAAAATATACTCACAGTAGTAAAACTTCAAGCTCAGATAAAAATCTCTTCCAGTGTTTCTTAGATTCCATTTTTTTCTCCTAGATATTATATAGAAAAGATAAAAATAAAATTAAGAAAAGGGTCTCTATTTCTGGGACTCTTAACCCAGAGTCTACAGTTTTCCTGAAATTAKATCAGCTTTTTATTATAAATGCATTTGGAGATTTTTTTATGAGGAGAGGATCCTTAGATTTCATCAAATTCTCAAGAATCCATTAACCCTAACACAGATTTAGAGCTGCTACTCTTGAATTAAGTTTTTCATGTGATATATCATGTTGTCAAATTTTATATTCAAACTCTTTGGAACCATATTTTCACACATTTAAATAAATTCAGAAGTATTATATGTGTCTTCAAGGAAAATCCCCTGACAGAAACTTCTCATTTGATCTCACGAAGACTTCAATTTATGTCATCTGTATTATCCTGCAAGTGGTCACTAATCTGATACTTATGAATTTGGTCATTTGGATGTATCAATTCACATTTACCTTTGCACACTTTTGAAGAGATGAGCCTACTAATCAAGTCAAAGTGTGAATTCTTACTACAAACAAGCTTCAGAAGYTAGCCTAGAGTCTGACATGTGAATAAATGAATACTGAAAAAATTAATAAATTCAATAATCTTGTAGTGAGCACCTACTTTATGCCTGACATTGTTGTTGATGCCTTCAAACATGTTATGTGGCTAGGTTCCTAAACTCTATCATGAAAGAGTTAAATTAAGTATGTTTCTAGGTTGTACTAACTCAAGGTTCTCATTTGCAAACTACTATAGAGGGAAGAATTTTTAGAGTTCTTTCCTCAGAAATAAAAACAGAAATTCAACAGAAATTCTGGAAGCTATTTTCCAAGTAAAATCAGAAACAATAAACTAGGCTAAGAAATCACTGCTAAGAACTACTTTATCAAATTTTATGTCAGCCGTCCTGAGCGTCAAGTAGATTTGGTTTGGGGCCCATCCCTACTGATTGCTATTTATGACTTTCTGTTCATTCACTGAATCTCCCTAAAGTCAGAGTTTTGTTAATCTGAAAAATGAACACTTTTGTGTTTCTGCTAATATAGCACTCGMACTTTGCTGCTTCAAGTTTGGTTTATGCACAAAAATCTTCAACTACACTGGGGGGTGTTAAGAAACACTGAATCTAATACTGGACTCATCCTCGGATCTACTCAGTCAAAATCAGCACTGTAAGATGACTAATAGGTGATACTGTGCACATGAAAGTTTAAAAGCACAGCTCTAATACATAAAATTCCTACTTCAGGCCTTCTGTGAAAGGTTCTTGAAGGSAATGTCCCAATGTTACAAAACTGCATGTCTTCAAAAAGTATTCTGTGGCCAAGGCTTCATTAAGTGCTCTCATTTTTCCTGGTAAGTGTATATGAGTGTGTGTGTGTGTGGAGAGGGGGTGGGGAGTGGCTGGTTGGTTGGTTGCGCTTTAGGTTAAAAGGCAGGCGGAAATAAAAGTAGAGGGCAAAAGTCCCAGAATACTTCCACTTACTACCTTAAAATGTAGGGTAGGACCAGGGACACAGGAGTTTGTACAGTCCTTTGCAGTATCTAGGTCTTCTTACTCCTACTGTTTAGCAACTAAATTCTTGAAAAGGACATATGGGCTTCATTCGGTTCATCTAACAAACATTTACTGAGCAACTACTATGGAAAGCCCCTGGAATAAGGCCTGGATACATGGACCAATAAGAGTTCTTCAAAAAAAAACCAATTTATCCACTGGGAGAAGCAAATGAAGAAATCAATACTACAAAATAACGGAAACCACACCCAAACCACACTAGAGYGGTAAGAGGCTATGAAGGAAAAATAGTTGTTTGGGAGACAAGAATGAATGGAATATCTACAGGCAAGAACATCCTATTCTAAAGTCAAACTAAGGGAAAGGAAACTCCCCAAAGGAGTGTGATTTGGTGGCAGCTGCAGAGAGAAGATTAGAGAGGACATTTGGGGAGGTGGCCCTAGGGCTCAACCACAAATGAGGCCAGGGCCAGTGACACATGGGCATGAATAAACGGGCTTCAGTTAGAGCAACCACATTTTATGTGTTGAATGGTTTTTTCAGTAGAATTTTTTTTTTTAATTAGACTCTTCATGTTTACAGGAATTTTGAGATGTCTATATAGCATTAGTGGCACAAGATGCAATGTGGAGAAATAAAAAAAAAAAAAGTTGATAATTTCTTAAGGCTCTGTTACGTAAGCTACAAACCAGAAATCATTTCAGACCCCACCAGCTCCCCCACTTCCCAGTCCTACCAGTCACTAGATCCATTTCACCTCTTCTCTTACACATACCTTCTCACCTTCCATATTGACTTAGCCCTGATCATGACAATGGTTCTCAACACCAGCTACACATTTGTACCACCTGGGGACCTTTCAAAACATACTAATGCCTGCCACCATCCATTCTGACTTAACCACTTGCTATGGGGCTTTGTTTTTAAAAAGCTCCCTAGGTGATTCTAAAATGAAATCAAACTGGCAACACTAGTTCAAGTGCTGTCCATCTCTTAGTTTACACACCTAAAATATCCCTCAACCAGGTCTTTCTTCTTTCAGTCTAGTTATAGCCATCTTTTGCCAGGTCCCAGGCTAACTTACAATCCATCACCTACCCTGTAATCAAAGTGATATTTCAAAACACAAATCTAAGTCTTTCACTCTTCTACTTAAAAATCCATGTGTTAAAAAGCAGCCAGCAATGAGCAGTGAAGTGCATGGCAAGGCCACAGATGTTCTTTAAATTACCTTAGGGTCTTCTTTAAACTACTTTCAAAGTAGACAGGAAAGCAAACGGTGGTAGTTAATTTGTAAAAAAAATAAACAAAGCAAAGGAGCCAACGGGAAAATACATCAAAAGAAAAGGATTAATGGGACTAACTCTTGACAGTGTTCGTTGATGTTAATGTGAAGCTAGGAATTATGGCTATAGGTGTCTCCATTTGTCTAGGAAGGAAGATTCCTTTAGAAGCTCAGATGCACTAACGTAACTTTTGACCAGCTATTGACCCCAGTGCCCACGTTGACATGGGACTGACTCGTAGATGAAGCCTCCCTAAATAGGATGGCCACCATGACAGCTCCGGAAAGGACCAACTAAGGTCAAAAACTCCACTGCCTGATGTGAAGGAGGAACTGAACACCTGACTGGCAAAGAATACAGAAGGTGGTGCCCAATTCTCCTGGTAACATCAAACAGTAATAAATCTGGAGATAGTGTTGTCTCTTTTGTCATTCTCTGCTCAGAGATGGTTCTCTCTCTCTCTCTCTCTCTCTCTCTCTCTCTCTCTCTCCAGTGCTGTCTGCCTAAGCCTCACTTTGCTTTTACTCTACTTTCACTTATAATAAAGTTCTCTTGCATGGCTTTTGGTGTCTGACTTTAAATTTTCTTTCATCAGAACACAAGAACCGAGTTTTGGAGTTTTAGCTCCCTGCTTTCCTGTGACACATGCGCTTCACGTATTTTCATATCATTTCTTGCCACTTTCTTGCCACCCGCACAYTCCATGCCACCAAATGAATTGTTATTCACATGTAAGGTATACATGCTTGCAGACATGTACCCCTAGACCTCTGCATCTGCTATATTCCACCCAGAATATACTTCCCCTCCTTACTGTTTGCTAAAATTCCACTCATTCTCAAAATCCAGCTGAAAGAGCATTGCCTTTCACCCACTTTTACATATATATATATAAATATTTATATAATAAAATTTATAAAATTATATATATTTATATAATTTTGTGTGTTTGTGTGTGTGTGTGTGTGTGTGTATGTGGTGCTGGGGATTGACCCAGGGCCTTGTGCATGCTAGGCAAGCACTCTACCAACTGACCTATATCCCCAGCCCTCCATTTATTTTAAAGAAATGTTTATTGAGTGGTCACCTGGGCCCCATCATCCGCTGGGTACCAGATGCACCCCTCCTTTGGGTGGCAAGAAATGCAACCTTTTATGTGCTCCCAGAATCTTTTGTACAAATCCCTGTTAAATAAGTACTTCTTTCCGATCAGTTTCACTCTTTTATTGACTTGATTATTTCCCCCCAAAATACTGTGAGCACCTTGAGAATTCTAGTAAGCCTTATTCACCTCTACACACTCAGATTTCCAGGCCAAGATGGAGTTTAGTAAATGTTTCCTGATGCTTGACCAACAGTGAAGAGAATGAAGGTCAGCTCTTTAGTGTGTCTGCCTAGGTAGTTGTCGCTAACTGACGCACAAGTTTGATTTACCAATTCCCTCTCTGCTTTMCTGGCTGTTACAGTCAATCAACTGTCTTCTAAACTGCTCTGATCATTGGTTTGTAGCTCCTATTTAAAGCCGCTTCTTTCCCACCCTCCTGAACTGTAAAAGAAGGCAATTTATAAAGTCACACTGAATGCTCACGTGTGGCACTAAAGCTGCCTGAAGAGCATGCCGCTCACCCTAAGCAAACTGGCACAACCTGACCTCTTGAACAAAGTCCCAGAGGCCCTACAAGGCTTTTCAGAAAAGTTTTTCTCATGCAATATATCTGAGGATGTGAAGGATTTAATGTCCACATTCCCAAAAGACAGGCATTCATTTCTCAGTCATTTCTCCAGTCACCTGAGCTCATAAATCTTATTTCCATTTATGAAATTTTATGTTCAAATACACCTTCTTTACTGTTGATGAAAAATGACACATTTTAATATGAATTATGAGAAAATAAATGGAATCAATATTCTGTGATAGTAATTCTTGCCATACCTGTTTAAATAATTTAACAGCATATGCTCGATTTTGAATCTCCACTCTGTATACCTCAAACATATCCCCTTCTCCAATCAGGAAGTCTTTGTGGAAATGTTTGGTTCCGTCTATGATGTTCTGAAAGCTGATGGAGGATTCAAGCAATATTCCTTAGGAAGGAGAATAGAAAGGGAGAAGATAAGCCACCTTTTCTGAAAGTCAGTGTTGCCATATTGGAAACATGTAAGAGCCAAGGGGAAGGCCAATAGAAGAAGGCCCAAGAACTCAAACTATAGCCTACATTAACTTGGGTCTGGATCTCATCATTCCAAAAAGCAAATGGCATTTTAGGTATCTGAACCCTGGTGTTGTGKTTTTTTCATCTCTCCAAAGAAATCTGCCAAAGAGTTTAGTTGGGGAAATTTTTCCAAGATTCTGTTTCCTTATTCTTAAGTCAATGTGTGGAGCCATTATGAACCTAAAACCTATTTTTTAAAAAAAACAAAACCCTGGAAATGAGCTGATGCAGTGGCACATACATGTAACCCWGCAGCTTAGGAGGCTGAGATAGGAGAGTCGCAAGTTCAAAGCCAGCCTCAGCAATGGCGAGGCGCTAAGCAACTCAGTGAGACCCTGTCTCTAAATAAAACACAAACTAGGGCTAGAGATGTGGCTCAGTGGTCTAGTGCCCCTGAGTTCAATCCCTGGAACAACAACAACAAAAAAAAAACTCTGGAAATGGGACTCCTCATATGACTAAACAATATTTTCAAACATGACTGATAGAGATACTTTTCATGAGCCCCTAAATGCCTGACTTATTTCTCAGAACAAATCAGAAAGATGCTTCACCTGTGTTTGTTTGTTTGTTTTTATTTTTTATTAGTGGATCACAGTTATACATAACAATGGCATTTATTGTTACATATTGATATGTGCATATAATAATATAACAATATAATTTGGTCRATATCACTCCTTAACACTTCTCAGCTCTCCCCATGCTTCAGCTTTTTGAAAAATCACCCAAAGGAGAGATTGGGAACAAACATTTAAAAGTAATCAAAAGGAAAAAAAAAGAAAGGTTGGCTAAATCTTTCAGAGCCCAATCTTGGCTATATTTCTACAGTTACTACAAAATACTCCCTAAGATATTTAAAGGTGATTTAGAGCTTATTATTAAAGAACTAAAATCTTATTTAACTATTCTAATTTTCTTTCAAACCAGAAAAGCATCAGATCCAGGCAAGGCAGGCTTAAGTAGTCTTCCCAGGTAGGACTAAATTATTCTCCCTACTAATAAAATAGGAGAGTTAATACAGAAAATAACTGGATTTTTCACACTGACCTTCAACATTACTTTATAATCACCTCAAAAGATCTTTGCAATTGCTATGAAAATTTCTAAAGCAGTGTAAAACTCATCTTAAGTTTTTAAGTGTTTTATTATGGCACTTAAAAAAGGCAATTTTTACTAACAAAGAAAGACCACAATTATGTTGTTTATTAGCAAATGGATTCTTAAAATAAATGTCATTGATTAGAACTTTGTCAATGAGAATTTTGTCAATCAAAATTGAAACTACTTTTATATCTATGAAAGTTTTATACTGAATCTGAATATAAACAGTTAAGGTATTTATTAGGCATTTCCTCTTCTAAACTCATTTATGTAAAAGCATGATTTTTATAAAGCAAAGTTGTTGTTTATTTGTGTGTATGTGTTTTGTTATTGTTGTTTTGTTTTGTTTTTTACCTTTTTCATTATGTTCAGGTATAARAGCATCATCCACTGTGACATTKGCTTTTCCCTAAAAGAAAGAACRCACACCAGAGTAATTCCATTTCATGAGTCTAGAAAAAACAGAGCCTCAACAGAAATGCAAAGCTCCCTGGGAAACTATACAGTGCAACAGAGTGGAATATAACTTTTAAAAAGCTAATAAAAGCAAAGTTATTTTTACTTTATTCAATAGCATTCATTGCCATACATTTTTAAAGTTTCCACATTGACTGTAAAAACTCAAGAATCAATGACATAGTCAGTTATAGTCTATTTAAATGACTTCTAATGCTACAGAAATGAGTACTGCTTATTTGCTCTAATAAAAACTCAAAGCAACATACAAAATACCAACTAGAAAAGGAAAGTTAAAAGTTAAGACAAATGAAGAACTCATAGTTCTAAATCTCAACTCTGACAGACCACAGATAGGTGAAAGCTCTTATTCTGCAAATATTTATAAATCTCTAATTTCTTGTGTCTTCAATTCAATAAAGGATAATGAAAGAATTAAGGCATTTCTGTGCCTTAGTTAAGTGCCTGCATAGCCAGCATCTTTCTGCCAGAGAATTTCATTCCTTCTGCTCAATGGACAATGGAGTTCAAGGATCATTTTCTAAGCACACGTGATCTACCTTGGATATGTTTGGAAATCCATGCTCCTGATGACTCTGCTCTAAAGAATTCAATCCTGCTCCTGAAAGAGAAATAAAGGGAACCAGATACAAAACAATTTTAGATCCCAAATGTGATCTTTATTCCCCTTTCTGAGACTGTGAAAATAAATATTTTGCTAGTAATGTTCATTTTTAAAGTTCAATTTAATTCAACTGTAATGGTTGTAAATTTACAAATGTGAAATAGCTTTCTAATGAACAAATATTATACAAACTAACTTTCTTCACTTAAAACATGAATAGCTACTTAAAATCATTGGTAGACATAATAAAATATTAAAGTGCAAAGTAGAAAATTGAAAGGAAAAAAATGTAGAATTGTTACCAGGTTTTTGCACATATATTTTAGATTTTTACGGTTATGAGATTACATCTTCCTGGGTTTGTTTATCTTCTGTACTATTTTGTGTCATAAGGTAGAGCTGGTTGTGATGATGTTGAGTGTGTGTGTGTGTGTGTGTGTGTGTGTGTGTATTATCAAACATCAACACTCACTACCCCTTCCCAAATACAGAATTTCCTGTCATTTCTGACATTGTGATTCAGACTTTGGACAATTTTTATTTTACCTTCTAGTTTTGCTTAGCTTGTGTTCTAGTGGTTTTAAAATTATTTTGCTTATAAAACCAGCACCAAAACATAGTCAATTAATAACACACCTCCTTGAACTACACTATAAATCAACTAGACCTAATTGAGTTCTATAGAACATTCTTTCCAAAAATAGAATACACACATACTCCTCTAATGCACACTGAACATTCTCCAGAACAAACCACATATTGGACAAATGTAGTGTCCTTGAGACATCTGGAAGTTATGAAATCATATGAAGTACATTTGCTGACCACAAGGGAATTGAAGTAGAAGAAATAGAAGAAAAATTTAGGACATTCACAAACACATGGAAATTGAACAATAAACTCATAAGTAACCAATGAGTCTAAGAAGAAATCACAAGTAAATTATAAAATACATCAAATGAAAATGAAAACACAATATACCAAAACTTATAGCTACAAATGCCTACCTTAAAAAAGAAGAAATATCTTAAATCAATAGCCTAAATTTCACAGTGAGGAACTAGAAAAGGTACAGTAACCTAAACAGATGCAAGCAGAGGAATGAAATAATTAAGATCAGAATGGAAATCAATAAAATAAGAGAATTTTTAAAAGAGAAAAATCAATGAAACCAAAATTGGTTCTTTGAAAAGATCTGCAAAATTGACTATTCTTTCGCTAGACTGACCAGGAAAAAAAGAGCGGATACTCAAATTACTAAAATCAAGAACAAGAGAGGAGATATCACTACTGATGTTACTGAAATAACAAAAATTATAAGGAATACTATGAACAAATAACACTTATGCCAAAAAATCAGATAACTTAAATGTACAGATTCCTAAAAAGACAAGAACTACTGAAACTAACTCAAGAAGGAATAAACAATCTGTCTCTGTAGTAGATAAAGAGATCAACTTAGTATTTTTAAAAGTTCCACAAAGAAAAGCTCAGGCTCAGATGACTTCACCAGTTAATTCTACCACACATTTGAGTTTTACACAAATTCTTTAAAAATACAAGAAGATAGACCAACTCCCAAATCATTCAATAAAGTCAGTATTATTCTAATAYCAATGTTACATGAAGACACAGGAAAAGTGCAGTCTAAGATCCCTTCTGGATATAAATGCAAAAGTCCTCAACAAAACACTATCAAACCAAATCCAGAAACACATAAGGAATACATATTTTAACCAAGTGGGATTTATCCCAGGAGTCTAAGATTTGCTTAACATCTGAAAATTAATCAATGCAATACACCTCGTTAACAGAATAAAGGAAAAAATCCACATGTTTATCCTCAACAGACCGTGAAAAAGCGTTTGATAAAATCCAGTACCCTGTCATGATTAAAAAAAAAAAAAAATCCCTAGGAATAGAACGGAATTTCCTCAATTTGATATAGGACATCTATGATACAGTTAACATTATACTCAATGGTAAAAGACTGGATATTTTTCCCTTAAGATCTGGATCAAGACAGGAATAATGTCCAGTTTTGCAACTTCTATTCAATATTTTTTAAATTTTTTTTTAGTTGTAGATGGACACAATATCTTTATTTATTTATTTTTATGTGGTGCTAAGGATCAAACCCACGTATGAGGCAGGCGCTGTACCACTGAGCTATAGCCCCAGCCCTCTATTCAATATTACACTTAAGATTCTAGCCAGGGCAACTAGACCAAAAAAAAAAAAGTAAGGAAAAGAAGGAGGAAGGACAAACATCTTCAAGTAGAAYAGCATTTGAAGTATGGAGGCTGTAAGGGCACTAAAAGTCATTGTCCCCCACTTTTTTTAAAGAAATATAATACTTAATTGTCATAAAATCGAAGGTTCAAAATGGTTCTTCTAAGAAATCGGTAGAAAGCTGTGGATTTCAAGTCAAAACTGRAAAACAACTTTCAATCATTGAAATGCAAACGCAAAATATGTCATGTATGTATGGACAGAAATCTAATAAGTAAAGATTCTAATTCCTTGAAATTTWTGGTTATGTCTTGAGATCTAAGGAAATGTATGTGGATGCAAAGAAACCATCTAATGGCAGCAACCTGAACTGAAGGAACAGGGAGGAAACTTCTCAATAAGACTCAGAAAACAATCCAAACATACAAAGTGATCCTGGAGGGTAGAAGACAAAAAGGTCAAACATTACTCTAAAAATAAAACTAAATAAACAACAACAACAAAAGAATCCCACCAAATAGAACATACCCTAAAGAAAAGTAGGCATTATTAGGATAATTGATATATCTGTCCATGCTGGCAGCATAGAAAGACTAAATCTTTTCATGTATTTTCCATTAGGAACTCCAACCTCTAGTAGCTGCCACAGGACACATATTTTCAGCAGACATGCTCCCAATGAATCATCACTGTTCACTTAGCAGGCTGTCCAATTAACTTTCTCCATATTATGATTTAATTCAAAGCATCAATTCAATAAATTACATTTTCTTTGTTATATTATATATTATATGTTATATTTATATGACATATATACTATATTTTCTTTGTTAAAAGACTCAGAGTGAAGTGCTATCTTTTTTCTTTATCTCAAACTTATCTATTTTCTTGTAGTAGAGCAATAAATAATTGTCACTATAGTCTGATAATCTCACATTTAAAAAAAATGAAATCAACTTTGCATGTGTAGCAGACTTGGAGTCAACCAAAAATGTGGAATGTTTGTCTTTGGATAGTCTAAATCATTCTCTGCTGCATAAATAAACAACAGAGAGAATGAAAACATACTATGAAATCTATTCCAGAAAACAGAATTATAAAACAAATCTGGGCATCCCATTAAATTGTGCTAGGTTGAGCCTGTGAACAGCAAACCATGTGGTGGTTTGTGTGGTTGGAAAAGGCTGAGATAATGAAAGGCACGGTATTTACAGTTCCCAGGGACTTACTGCATTCCACTTGCTCAGCGTTGAGTAAAGCATTATGCTCTACTAAACCACGTGAAGAAATAGCGTAGAAAAGGTAAAAGGAATTAGCCAAGTTAGGTAATATCATGGCAGAAGCTTACTGAGAACCAATATCCCAGGAATGAATATCTACTAAATARAAGTCATGCTGAAGCAATAGTTTTCTGGTACAGATCTCTCAGTATTTCTTCTTTGTGTGTGTAAATCTTCTCTGTGTAAGAAGGGACAGGCTCATGCACATTAAGTATGTGATCAAAGAACCTGTGTACAATTATATAAAACTGAAAATATGCCTGGATGAAATGAGCCAAAGAATGAAGATGTTGATTCAAACGCTTTGGACCCACAAGTCTTGAATCTATAATGCAAAGGCCCAAGATCAATCACAATCATTGTTGAAGTGAATAAATTCAAGTGGAAGAAACAGAACAAATGATGTTAAGAGACTATTTACTGACAAAGAATAAATGGAGAAAACTTCATGAGCATTATTTATTGGATTTCTCTGACTGTAAGGCATGACAAATAGGACACACAGGGGAGAATTATAGAATGAATGACAGATAAGTGAGGCAGAGTTAAAAGCTATGACATAAAAACAGTAGTGAATATAAAAGACAAATTCCAAATTTATTCTGCAGGTATTATTTGCACTAAAATATGGGAGAAAGAGAGACACTTATTATATTTCTTAAACAAAACAAAGGATAGCATTACCCATACTTTACTTAAACATTGCAATTCTGATTATATTTATGATTCAAGGAGTCTCTGAGTTTGGGAAAGAAAGCTGATTCTATTAGCTGATAGAAATAAAACATTGCAAACCTGCAGTTTGTAAGTAAAAGTTAAAAAAAATCTCTAAAACCTCAAAAAGTAATGTGTTGTATAAGCAATGCAATAAAAAAAAGTGTCACAYACAAATACAAAGCTTCAAGTTCCCCTGAAGACAAAAGTGACAAGTAAGGAATCGCTGCCAWACATACAGCATGATGTCGTGTGTAAAAACACAACATTTCTATTTACAATTTAAAATTCCTATAGGATGGACTGAGAGCCATATTATAAGAAAGTGGTTACCGTAATTTGTAATTAAATGTATCGCTCGACGATGCCCCATCTCCTGAAGAATTTGTAAAAGGTCACCGATGGTCTTGTTTTTCTGTGCCCAGGACCACAGCAATTCTCTTGTTCCACTTTTACCTTGGTCTACGTATTTTTCAATATGACGAACATCCAGCCAACTGTTAGAAAGTCTCTCTGCTATGGAAGGTACAATAGAAAGAACCAAAGAACAGTTTATTTTTTTATTGAAATACTCGTATATTTTACTTATCAATGAATAATTTGAACTATTATTTTGAATAATTTAGCAGGTACTCCTCACCCACCTTCCACTAATATTGACAGTAGTAACCATGATACAATTATCAGAAGTCGTAATAACAAAACTGCAGGTCTTATTTACTTTTATTCGTTGTTTCACTAAGTACTTTTTTGATTTGGATCCTTTCCAGTTTCCCACATTACATTTAATCATTTATTCTCCTGAGTCTCCTCCAGTGGGCAGTGATTTCTCAGTCTCTCCTCATCTTTCCAGACAGTGAAATGACACTGTGCCCTGCTCAGTGTGTAACATCCAGGGGGTTATGATATGATGTCTTATCACCATTAGTGTGTATCTTGATTATTTGGATAAGGTGGTGTCTGCAGGGTTTCTCCACTACTGAACTATCTTTTTATTTATAATTAATAGCTCTATTGGGGAAGATGCTTCGAGATTGTGGAAATTCACTGCTTCGCTGCAGATTTGGTCTACTAATATTTGCACCCACCAGTACTTTTGTTTATCAGAATTATTACTGTTGTATTTGCTTCATGGTGATTTTTCTACTTTGTCTTTTTTCCTTCTATGTTCATGAACTGTAACTTTTCTGTAATAAAGAGTATCCCTTCATTCTCATGTATTTACTCAACTTTTATGTAGAACAGAATGGATTTATGAGTATTTATTCTAATGGTTAAAATTCAGTGTTATCAAGGTCTAGATCTGGGATGTCCCCCAAAAGCTCAGGTACTTCAAGGCACAGTCCCTAAGCCAGCAATATTCAGAGATGAGGCTTTTAGGAAATGATTGGATCGTGAGGGCTCTAACCTCATCAGTGGATTAATCCATTTGGTAGATTAATCATATTAATGGACTTCTAGGAAGAGGTGGAAATAGTATGCAGGTGGGGTATGGTTGGAGGAAGTGATCACTGGGGGTATGCCTTTGGGGAATACATCTTCTCCTTGGCCTCTTCCTCCCTGTCTCTCTCTGTTTCCCAGCTGCCGTGAGCTGAGCAGCTGTCCTCTGCCACAGCCTCCCACCATGTTCTACTTTACCTCAGGCCCAAAGAAATGGAGTCAGCTGACCATGGATTGAAATCTCTAAAAAACATGAACCAAAATAAAGTTTTCTTCCTCTAAGTGATTCATTTTTCATTTTTGGTTACAGTGGCAAAAAACTGACTGACACACTATGATTATTTATTTTATTGCTGAAGCGGTTCTAGCTTTGTCTGTCTAGGTTGGCTCCTATGTTCTGACAAGGCCTATCTTTAAGTACTTTCTTAGTTGCTGACTCTACAAGATGCTCAAGGCTTATTTTATATTTCCCCTTCCCCAGCACTGGAATTAACTACTTGCCCAAGTTTTCAGTGGTGATTAGAAGCTAAGATGCAGGTACCAAATGTGCTCATGGTAGCTACAGTTCCATTGCTTGGAGGCTTTCAAAGCAGACAGAGCTAATAAATAGAGATGTACACTAGTCCACACATCCACATTTCTCTACCTGTATGTATACATATTACAAACCAAGAGTTTATTCTGGTACCCCTGATTCCAATCCAATCCCAGATGTTCACATTTTAGTCATTTCTCCTTAGTAACTTAATTCTTGAGCAATAAGAAACTCTACTCTTATCACTGATGCTATATTTACTTGTTCATTTACTTCTACTACACTTTATAAAGTACTTTCAGAATTGCAAACCTACCCCCATGAGAAACATGTTCACTAAATTAGAGCGTAATAATTCTTTTTGTCCTTAGCTTAAAGGAATCCAGTATGATGCTATTTTCCAAAACTATTTAGGTTAATTCTTTACCTCCTCACCCCTTTCAGGGTGGGTATTATTTATTGGTAATACAGTTAGCTTCAACTGTTGAAGTTTTCATGCAAGAGTRTTTTAAATGCTTGCTCCACATAGTTTTGCTGTTGAATATTTTTGAGTAATTAAAAACTAATATCTGGGTGGGGTCAGGAAAATGTTTCACTAAAGATATTCTTCACTGCTCAAGACCCATGTATATGGCTTGTTTTGGGTCTTGTAAAAATACCTTAAAGTGATACTAAAAGTGTATGGATTTTTATGGTACCCTGAGTTAAAAGGATTTTTCAAGTGAAAACTTATTTCACCTTGCTGCACAACTTTCAAATTTTAAAGTGTACTGTAGGCAAGAGAGGGTGAGAGAAGGCAAATGATAGAAAGGTAGCTTTCTTGTTCCTATAATAATATAAGTCATTTTGAGTTCTAAGATTAACAATGTGCTTTTGAGTCTGTGATGGTGACAGCAGTTTTCCCTCATTGCTTTACCTTCCAGAGACTCTAAAAAATGTAGGATTCCAGATAATGATCTGTGGATACAATTCAACTATCATCTGAAGTTGATCATGGAAATCCCAGTGTACCACAATAATTAGTGATGGAGACTCAGTACCTTTTGCTCCCTGCCACATGTGCATATGGAAAGAACCCTCAAACAGCAAATAAATCAACTTTGTTAAAGGACTCTCCAATCTACCAATGATGTTCTTCAAAGGCTGATGCCCTTTCAAAAGACAAACAGATGCTCAGATCTAAGGAAGTGATTAGCCTTATGGAACTTTCTTCTGTTTAAAGTCTGTTTTAGGGTCCAAAGTTTGTGTTAAGGAGTTGCTATACAAGTTATAGTATTTGAAATCAAGACAACAGAAAGGCAAGCATTTTCTGCTTTAATATGGTAACCTCTTTCCCCAAATTTTCAGTTCTATCTGGTTTGCTGTAATATTCAATTTACTTCAACTTTATGTTCTTGCTGGGACTCTCAACAAAACCTGAAAGTGGAAAAAGTTCACAATATGAAACCACTACTCCCCCCCACCCCATTCTTTGAGCCAAAAGTTGATATTGTAGATATTTCCAATGCTCTCCAATATTTCCAATCCTCCACCCCATTACAAAGGATTACATTTCCCTTCTATGTAAGGTTAGGTATGTGTCTATTCTAGCAGAAATACTAAAAAGTCAAGGCACAATTTACCAGGTTCCCAACCCTGCTACAGCAATGGTAGAAGCACATGCTGACCTAGGGTTGTCTCATGAATAAAGAAGCCTAGGAATCTGGGTCACCACATGCGGGACAGATGCACTAGACTCTGAGTGCTCTTCMCAACAGCAAAAAGCAAACTTATACTATGTCAAACTACTAAAATTTTGGTATTGTTTATTATTGCACCATAGTCTATCCTGACTAATACATACAAAGTTACATCTTGAATTAATCCAGTCACTTTTTTGGGAGAATAGAGTGAAAGAGACTGGCAGCTATTGTGATCACATATCAAACAGGGAGGATACATGAGACTTYCAATTCGAATGCATGTTTAGGCTACAAGGGGGAAAAAAAACTAGCTGCAATGAAATAGCTGACATTATTGAGATGGAATGTCTTTACTCGTCCCCCTTATTTTAAGTTCTGGCAAGATTATATTCATTCCTTATTTTTTTGTGGAGACAGTATCTCATGAAGAGGCAAAGAACTATCCAAATGCCAAATATTGGTAAGATCTGGTGTGTGATGCTGTTTAATATACAGATTAACTATCTGTTGGGTTTRCATCTGTAAATTCAACCAACTACGGATCAAAGATATTCAGAAAAAGATTGTCTATACTGACCAAGTAAAGACTTCTTTTCTTTGTCATTATTCCCTAAACAATACAGTATAACAACTATTTCAGTGGCCATTTACATTGATGTAGGTATTTTAAATAATTTAGAGATGATTTTAAGTATGTTGGAGGATATGGATAGGTTATATGCAAATACTATCCCATTTTAGATAAGGGACTTGAGATCTATAGATTTTGTAATCCCATAGGTCCTAGAACCAATCCCCTATGGATAATGAGAGATAACTGCTATTCTTTTTTATATATGTGGTCTGGCTTTTTGGTTGAGACACATTTGTCATGAACACTTTAGCTAGCTATTTCAAGAAACCCTTGAAAGAATACTGTGGATTGGGGTATTCAAACATTTGCTGTTATCTATGATGAGCCAGGGTACAGTAATTGCATACACCAGTGGGGCATGGAGATAGGTCCCTAACTAAGACAAAGACCCAGGAAAGGTTCCACTACAGAAGTGTTTTACAGACATTGAGCCATGTTTAAGGTAATGAGTATTTCTAAAGGGAGACCAACTCTTAAGGATTTGAAGCCACTACTGCCCGTTCTTTGAGCCAAAAATCGACGTGGTGGACATAACCAATGCTCTCCAATATTTCCAATTCCCTTCCCCATTATGGAGGACTACATTTCTCTTCTCTGTAACATTAGTAATGCACCTATTCCAGCAGAAACACTGAAGAGTCAARGCACAATTTACCAGGTTCCCAATCCTGCTGCAGTAGTAGTAAAAGCACATGCTGACATGAGGGTGTCTCATGATGGAAGAAGTCTGGAATGCTGGGCCACTGGATGGGAGACAGAYGCACTGGACCCAGTGCACTTCCCAACAGCAAAAAGCAAACTCATACTATGTCAATAGTGTAAGTATTTAAATATGTGTAAATACTGCATAAGAGACTGATAGGGTATGCTAGAATTTAGAATTTCATCTGGAAACCAACAAATAACTCTCAGCCCTGTAAACTATCCTATCTCCCAAGAACAAAAGAATTCAGTCAAAACAGAGCATGGCTGTGGGCCTCGGTGTGCATGCAGGAACATGGGTGTTTAGTGGTGGCCCTGGACCTACAGGAAGACATTAGGCAAACCATAGTCCCACTGAACAATCTCAAACTTCCCATTAGTAACTGTTCTTTGAAGCTCTCCCACCTACAATATATCCTAAATTTGTGTTATCTTTCTTGGCCTGCTGGTTATAAAAGCATGGACTAAAACATCTCCAGTCTTTAGGGCTGGGGTGTGATTCAGTGATAGAGCCCATGCTTAG